CCTGGATTTTCTTCCTCTTGTGTCTTCATTTGAGCCCTGAGAGAGTCCTTTTTATGGCTCGATTCCTTGTTGACCACATTCCTTCCATCCTTAGATAACATTTCTGTAGCCTGGAGCCACATTCTGGCATGTGTGTATGTTTCAATGTGTGTATGTGTGTGTGTGTGTGTGTGAGTGTGTGTAGACTCCCATTACCCATCACTGTATGCGTGCCAGGTCCTTCCAGTAAGTTTCCCTTAAATAGGTGGAGGCAGAAGTTAGAGAGGACTTAGTGCTGGGTGGCGGGAAGATGTGAGGGCAGAGCCAGGGGATCAAGAAGTGTGAACACATCTGGAAGCAATTTTCCACTCACCTACCCCACCCCCACGACTCCTTTTCTTATCTTCTAATCTGAATATGGTATTTATGGAGATGCTAAACAGATCACGCCCTCTGAGGAAGGAGCCTAGGAAGACCCCGTTGCCCTTTTGATCTCATTACTGTGTGTCTTGTCAGCAGATCTGCCGCCCTGGTGCTCATTCAGGCTTGGGCTAATCATATTAATTGAAATATTAAGCATTTACAAAAATGAATTATAATGAACTCCCTCTTGCTCCTCCTCCCAGTCAGTAATTGGGGAGACAGCTGTAGGCAGCAAAATGCCTCCAACCCCTTGTTTAGCTCAAGGTCTCTGGATTGAAGGTTTTAATCTAAGGAGAGAGAGAGGTAGGGTTTAGGGAAGAGGAGGTGGGAGTTCTCATGAGATACTCCTTGCTGGGTGACTGCAGCACATCTCTGATAATTTTTCAGACCATGGAGGATGGGAGCCCTGTGAGATGAAGATGGAAAAAACAACTCGATGACTCAGAGGCCCATGCTGGCAAGTTTTTCTCCAGGAGGAAAGGGGACTTCCAAGCCCTAGTTCTTCCAACGTACTTTCTCTGCCTACTACCTCCAAATTTACCCTTTTTCTTTTTCCTTTGCACCCAAGGCTAAGCAGCCCTACATAAAAGAATATTGACTTTATAATGGGAGAGCTCTACTCCTGGAAATGAGAAATGTTGAATAACTGGTATATTTTCCAGAAAAGGCAAAATGTGGTTGTGATATGTGTGGGCAGGGTGGATAGCCATCAAATACTAGCCTCGTTAACTGGATATATCTGCAACAGAGCCTCTGAGAGTGTACAAAGAACTGATAACCTCCCTGCCCTCTAGAGGCTTCTACCTCAAGTAGCCAGGTAAGCCTGGCCAGGAAAATATGCAATAGTGAATACTAAGATGTAGTTAAAAAAGTAAAGTATCCTCTCTCACTCACATACATGGGTATTTGGGCCAAGCAACATCTGATTGACTCTCAAAGCACAAGAAGAAAACAGAATTGTAGAATGAGGAAGTAAGTCATTTCTTGCATGGGATGGGGAGAGTGGAAAGAATAGTGTACAAATAATCACGTGTGTGTGTGTAGGTTTGCTAGTCCAGACCAGAGCCATCTAATAGAAATATGATGTGAGCCACATATATAATTTCAAAATCTCTAGAAGCCACATTAGAAAAGTAAAAAGACATAAGTGAAATGAATTTTAATAATATATTTTATTTAACCTGATTATACCCAAAATCTATCAACATATAATCAATATAAAAATTATTAATGAGATAAACCAAAAACCAAACTCACTGCTGTAGAGTCAGATCTGACTCATAGCAACCCCTCCTTGGGTTTCCAAGGCGGTATCACTACAGAAGATTGCCCAATCTTCCTTCTGAGGAATGGCTGGTGGGTTTGAACTTCCAGCCTTCTGGTTAGCAGTCAAATGCCTTAGGCACTATGCCACCAGTGCTCCCATTAATGAGATATTTTGCATTATTTTTTTTCGTACTAAGTCTTCAAAAATCCAATGTCTATTTTACAGTTACAGTACATCTCAACTCATATCTCAATAGCCACAAGTTACTCACAGTGATCATATTGGACAGTGCAGCTCTAGTGGTTTCATCACTAGCTTCTCTGGAGGTGGGGGTGGGAAGACACTGGTCTTATGCAACAGGAACAACCACCTCTGGTTGACTTCTGCTCCTGGCTGACAACAATCACTTCTGTCAGCAACTTATCTTCCTCTCACTCTAATACTCTCAAAAAAAAAAACAAAAAACAAAAACCCAAACTCACTGCCATTGAGTCAGTTCCCACTCATAGAGACCCCCTTTGGGTTTCTAAGACAGTAAATCTTTACAGAAGTAGATTGCCCACTCTTCCTTCCATAAAATGGCTGGTGGGTTTGAACTGCCAACCTTCTGGTTAGCAGTCAAATGCCTTAGGCACTACATCACCAGAACTCCTAAAAACCAGACAAATGATTATCAACCTCAGTAGGGTCTTGTAAAGGGGCTCGTATCCTATCTTGCTACCTAATTTACTTCTTGTGGTTTTCGCTGGCTTGGCAACTGCCACATTTTCATTTCTTTCTTTTTTTTTCTCTTTCAGTCTTTGCTGAGAAGGATATAGGCAGACCACAGAGAGACCCTTCTAAGGCCATGGCCTACTGCTGAGCCTGTTCCTTGTGCTATTTCCTTGCCCCTTGGGGCAGTTGTTCACAAATCTGAAAAGAAAACTCCTCCCTCCCTTTTGGATTCTCTTCTCCCTCCTCCTGGAAGGCCTCTGCTGGGCCCATCTCTGTGGGTGTAGAAGCTCAGCACGTGTGTACTGACACACAAGTTCCTGTCCTCTCTGGGCAGCTATTTTTAGCTCTCTGGCTTTATGTTTGACTTTTCCTTCTTAATTAGATACCAGAAGAACAAATCTTGAAGTCCAACTCCTTTCCTCCTCCCCTACTCATTCAAAAACAAACAAAAAAACCAAACCAAACTCACTGCCATCAAGTCAATTCCAACTCATAGAGACCCCCATTGGGCATCCGAGGCTGTAAATCATTATAAAAGTAAATCGCCCCATCTTCCTTTCGCTGGGCGGCTGGTGGTTTATACCACTGAACTTCTGGTTAGCAGCCAAATGCCTTATTCACTACTACACCACCAGAGCTCCTTCATTCAGGAGTGGGAAAAATAATTTAGAATCTATTAGATGTCCAGGGTGAAAACAAAATGAACCTACAAGAGAAAGTCAACCCACCATGGTTGCAGGGGACATCAACCTCAACTGGCATAACATATTACACAAAAACAGTGTTCCACATCCTACTTTGGTGAGTAGCGACTGGGATCTGAAAGCCTGCAAGCAGCCATCTAGATGCAACAATGGGTCTCTCCTTGTCCAGAGCAAAGCAGAATGAAGGAAAACCAAAGACACATGGAAACAATTAGTCCAAGGGACTGGTACACCATGCAATCTTCAACCTATACGACCATGAGACCAGAAGAACCGGATGGTTTCCAGCTACTACTGTCAACCACTTGGAGGGGGATCTCTGTCGGAGATCCTGGATAGAGTGGGAGAACAATGTGGAACAAAACTCAAAATCATAAAAATAAAATAAAGGGACCAGGTTTGCTGGTCTGATAGAACCTGATGGAACCACTGAGACTATGGCACCTAGCTGCCCATCAGGCCCAGAATTGAACCCCCTCCTGTGGCTTCCAGCCAAACAAAAGATAGGCATATGAGCTGAACATTTACATTAGGTAGATACACTCCTTGGAGAGATCAATCATGGGAGAACAGAAGGGCTGTGTATGCACAGTTAGACAGTTCAGGGTGGGGGCAGAAGTGCATGAGAGGGAAGGACACAGGTAAGAGGTGGCTATCAGGAGGAAGTGGGAAGAGAGCTGTTGCATTGTGGGAAATTGCAGTCAATGTCATGAGACAAAGTATACTGTGAACTGCTGTATGGAAAACCAATTTGCTCTGTAAACTTTCACCCAAATCACAATAAAAATTGAAAAAATAAAAAAAAGAGACAAAGTCAATCCAAAAGGGGAAACTTCTGGAAGAACGTTCACCAGGTCTTTACAGCATCTTTAGTTGGAGAACATCCCTTCCTTTACAGAATTAAGCTCACTACAGCCTATGGGGTGCTTTCGTGTTGTGTTTTAAAACACAAGATTTCAATGTTAAGTGTCTACAGGGCAGATGGTGTTTGGCTTCTGTGCTGGTGGGAAGAGAAGAACCCTGGATTCTCTTTCCCCAGTACTGGCTTCCTCCAGCTGTCACCCAAATGGGAGAGTCAGGAACCAGATTCTGGAGACCTTACCTTAGGACGCTCTCTTGTTGAATAACTGACATTTTCCAGAAAAGGCAAAATGTGGTTGTGGTATGTGTGGGCAGAGTGGATAGTCACCAAATACTAGCCTCTAATTGGATACATCTGCAACAGAACCTCTGCGAGTGTACAAAGAGATGATAACCTCCCTGCCCTCTAGAGGCCTCTACCTCAAATGGCAAGGAAAGCCGGACCAACAAAATACGCAATAAACTCACTGCCATCCAGTCCAACCCTACTCATAGAGACCCCTCCTTGGGTTTCCCAGGTGGTATCACTATGGAAGGAGATTGCCCAACCTTCCTTCCAATTAGTGGCTGGTGGGTTTGAGCTACCAGCCTTCTGGTTAGCAGTCAAATGCCTTAGGCACTATGCTACCAGAGCTCTTTAAAATATGCAACAGTGAATACTAATATGTAGTTAAGGAAATAAAAGTAGGCTCTCTCACTCACACACATGAGTATTTGGGCCACTGGGCCTGTGGGCAGACCAGGGCAGTATTTAATTTTATCTTCGTTTGAATATGGGACACACGTACTTACAAATTTTTGAATAAGTCTAGATTGATTGTATGTGGAATGAGTCCTTCTTGATCCCACCAACCTCAAATAATTTTTTTCTTAGCCCTCGAATCTGGAAAAGGAGAGCCTTTGGACACCCTCCAGAGAGTACTACTTGGCTTCAGAGACGTCTGAACAACGCTCCCCCTTCGCGGACCTAAGAAGGCCCGCTCGAGGCGGGGCGGGCCCGGGGGCGGGGCCTCGCCGTCCGCGCGGCCCGTCGCCTTGACGACCGCGACAAGATGGCGTTGCAGCGGTGCGAGCTGCTGGGGCCCGAGCCCGGGTTGCTTAGCCCTGCGCAGTTGGAGCAGCTGCGCAACTTCAAGGTGGGTGAAGCCCTTAGAGTGCAGCTCCTCCAGGACAAAAGCACCTTGACTGGGAGGAGGGCCCCTCAGAAAAGGGAGCAGGAACCTGTTACCAGATCAAGGGGCGGAGGGATCGAGGAAGACCCTGGGGACCCGCCACTGGGCTTCTGGGCCTCTGGCCCTCTGAACAGAACCCGGCGGGCTCCTGAAAATGGAAGAACTAAAGCAGAGATCTGGCCAAGGAAATGGGCCGAACGCCCCGGCGGGTACATGAAATTAATACAAACAAGAACTTCCCGATGGTCGGGATCCTACCGTGTGGGACCCTAGTTTTATAGCCCTGGAACAGCAAGAGGTTTATAAAATGGGCAGCTTACAATTTTAAGGATCCTGGGAAAAGATCTGGGTTAAATTCGATGGTGTTTTCTCTAACCCTTCACACGTTCAGCGCATGAACCCCGACTGTCCCTAATGGAAAATAGCCCTTTGCTCTTGCCCCCAGATTCAGACTCGGATTGCTAACGAAAAATACCTAAGGATCCACAAAGAGGTGGAGCTGCTTCTAAGTGGTTTCTTCAGGTAGGTGGTTTTCCAGTCTGGCCTTGGGCAACTGGTGGAACTTTTACCAAATCTTCTTGGGTATAGATGAGTGACCCCTGTTTTCTTTAAATATACATTCCCTTTCTCTTCCTTTAAGGTATGAAAGTTAGAAAATACCATATTTTTTTTTCCCCCCACTCTGGGATTTGTGACACCCAGGATTTTCTTTGGTTATCTGTAGAGGTTTCCTTCAGTTATTTCTTAATTCTGCAAAAAATACTCCTTCAGTTTAAGGGTAGATACATACCGTACGACACCTATAAGAGGAAATTTGGTAATCGAGAAACCCAACAGGCAAACATTGGATTTAGAACACCATTCTCAACTAGAGCTTAACAGGGTCACTAGTGTTGTTGTTATTTGCCATCGAGTCGGACTGACTTATAGTGACCCCTTCTTGGGTTGCCGAGGCAGTATCACTCGGAAGTAGATTGCCCAACCTTCCTTCCGAGGAGTGGCTGATGGGCTTGAACCGCCAGCCTTCTGGGTTAGCAGTCAAGTGCCTTAGGCACTATGCTACTGAAGCTCCTGGGTCACCAGTAAAACTTTAAAAAGAAATTCAGATGCCTGGTCCTTCCCTTCTTGAGAATCATTGTGTAGGATGACTCCCAGGTTGGAAGCTACTCCCTGTGAGTCTTGGAAGAAAGAAGACCATTTTCCGCCATCTCTTGAATCTGTTCTTTCCTTCCTCCACACTGCTTTCTACCCTGGCATTTGTTTGAAAGGAATATTGGACTGAAAGGCAAATAACTGAAAAGGGGTGGGGAAAAGTCTGGGTGCAGCAATGGATGAAAACAATAGAGCTATCTCAAATATGATTTGGCTGTGGATAAATAAACCAAACACCAAACCCACCACTGTCTAGTTGGTTCTGACTCATAGTGACCCCTATTGCATTTCCAAGGCTGTAAATCTTTACGGAAGTAGATTGCCTTATCTTTCTCCCATGGAGCCGCTGGTAGGTTTGAACCATCAGCCTTCTGGTTAGCAGCCAAATGCATTACTCCACTATGCCAACAGAGCTTCTTAGGTAAGATTTAGGTAATAATGACTTCCATTTCCCGGTACTATGTGGATACCCTAGATTAGCAGTCATCACACTGTATTATAATATCACAGCATATATAACTGCACTGTCAGTCTCGCATTTCTCCCACTGGACCAAAGTCTCCAGGGTGATGGAGTTCTGCTTGTGTTCTCAGTGCCCACCCAGGGTGTAGCACCTTGGTACCCTTGTGCTTATCCTCCCAGCAGCTCTACAAAAAGTAGCTGATTATCATTTCCATTTTACAGGTGAGAAAAGTGAAGATCAAAGAGGTGAAATAACTTCCCCAAATTGCTGAACCAGGATCTAACTTCTGGTTTTCCCACTGCGCTATGCTGTACAAGCATGGTCCACAGACCAGTTTGCTGGGGAACACAGAAGTGGGTATCTCCTTTGTCTTCTTAAAAGTAGATTTGGAGAGGGTTGTCTTGTTTTACTCCCTTTGCTTTTCCTGGATCTCACTCTTCTTTATGTTTCTCTGAGTGGCAATAGTTTCTCAGAGGGCAGATTGGGGAAGTAAAGAGGGAAAACTGAAAGTTGGATCCAGTTACTCTGAAGGTTGGGTGTTCTGGGGCAAGGGCTAATAAGGCATGAAAGACAGTATAGGGGTCCTCTGCCACTATGAGACCTGGGGATCAAGCCATCACTTTTTGGATCTTGTAAATGGAAATAAAGGATGATACCATGTCTCTCCTGGATGACACCTTGTAATCCAAGTTCTGAGTGATTCCTGCAGAGAGACTGGGGAGAGAAGTTTAAAAAGCCTGAATTAAATCAGTGTCTGCATTGTTTGCACACAAAAGGATTAGTACACTTGGGTGTGGTGAGTGAAGAGGGTGTTGTGTTAGTCACATGTCAGGGAAGGCCCTGCATCTGTTTGTCCAGGAACAAACAGTTTCCAGGAGGAGGCTGAGTGTCCTGGGCCTGGCTGCCAGCCTCCCTTCCCTTCCTTATCATCCCCCTCCCATAGGCCAGGTAGGCTACCAGCCCTTTCGTTTTGCTGCCCCTGGAGCTGTCCTACTGGAAATCAATCCCCCTTGCCCCTTTCAGGCCTTTCTCTTTCTGGGATGTGGGTAATGGAGGAGGAAGTGTTTGAGGATTTGTGTTCATTTTGTGTGTGTGTTACTGTTGTTTCCTGTGGGTGGTATCAGGATGGACCAGAGTCTGCCACTCACTGGCTGCTTCAGTTGGTGCTTTCTATGAGGCAAGAGAATGGGAAGAAGAGGAGGCAGGATCCTGGGCAGCACACTGAACCTTGCCAGTTGTGCAGGTCTCTGCTCTGGACTCCCCCCAAACCATGGGGAGGTCTGAGCTGTCCCCTGTTCTTGTCGAGGAGAGAGCGCCTCACTTGGGCTTTTTAGATCCTACTGTATTCGGCTGCTAACCAAAAGGTCGGTGGTTCAAACCTACCAGCTATTCTGTGGGAAAAAGATGAGGAAGTCTGCTTCTATAAAGATTTACAGGCTTGGAAACCCTATGCAGTTTTACTCTGTTGTCCTATAGGGTCACTCTGAGTTGCAACCAACTCCATGGCAGTAGGTGTTTTTAGGGGGTACTGATTTATGGCCATTCAGCCACAGCTCTCCAGTCTACATTCACATGGATAGTGCACAGAAGTCTTAGTACCTTGAAGTTTGGACCTGAAAAATTGAAAGAATAGGATACAGACTTCCTTTAGGCATCCAGAAACCTCAGGTTTTAGGCTGGGGTTATGACAGCAAAGTGTAAACTTGTACACAGGCTTTGGTAGATGTTTTTGTAAATAACTAGGCAGATGAATCTTCAAAAAATAACAGCAGTGATCATAACTGATTATCTCATGTCTCAGCTGGAAAAATCTTCAGTGGCTCTACCCTGCCTTTAAAAAATGAAACACAACAATATTTGATTGAAATATAACCTATGTACAGAAAAGTAGCATATCGAATGTATAAAGCTGGATGGATTTTCACAGACTGAAAACACACATGGCACCAACATCCAGATCAAGAAATAGAACATTACCAGCACCTCAGACCCCTTGTGGCCCCTTACCCCAACCATAGTAACCAGTAGCCTGCCTTCTAATCATAGATTTGTTTTGCCTTTTTGTAGTTGACTTACATGGAATCCTGCAATATGTACCCTTTTGTGCTTGGCTTTTGCTCAGCAGTATCTTGTCGGTCCTTCATTTTCATGGCTGTAGGGTATTGCATTGTGTGACTTGTTTGGTGCTGTCAAGTTGATTCTGACTCATTGTGACCCCATGTGACAGAGTAGCAGCACCCCAGGGGGTGTTTTAGGTTGTGATCTTTACAGGAGCAGATTGTCAGGTCTTTCTGCCGTGGAGCAACTGAGTGGGTGTGAGTCACCAACTTTACAGTTAGCAGCTGAGTGCTTACCCTTTGCGTCACCAGGACTCCTTGTGTGACTTTAAAATCCATTGTCATCCAGTTGATTCCAACTCATAGTGACCCTATAGGACAGGGTAGAACTGCCCCATAGTGTTTCCAAGGCTGTAAATCTTTACAAAAGCACACTGCCTCATCTTTCTTCCACGGAGCGGCTGCTGGGTTTGAACTGCTGAACCTTTTTGTTACCAGCCAAGCACTTAATCACGGCACCACCAGGACTCCTTTGTGTGTGACTGTTCCACCCTTTGGGAGCTCTGGTAGCGTAGTGCCTAAGGCACTTGACTGCTAACCAGAAGGCTGGCGGTTCAAACCCACTCTGGTAGCATAGTGCCTAGGGCACTTGACTGCTAACCAGAAGGCTGGAGGTTCAAACCCACCAGCCACTCCTCGGAAGGAAGGTTGGGCAATCCTACTTCCGTAGTGATACTGCCTCGGAAACCCAAGGAGGGGTCGCTATGAGTCGGGTCTGACTGGACGGCAAATAACAACAACAACAACAACAGCCACTCCTCTGAAGGAAGACAGGGCAATCTACTTCCATAGTGATACTGCCTCGGAAACCCACTAGCCACTCCTCGGAAGGAAAACAGGGCAATCTACTTCCATAGTGATACTGCCTTGGAAACCCAAGGAGGGGTCGCTATGTCGCTATGAGTCTGGTCCAACTCGAGGGCACATAACAACAACAACATTCCACCCTTTATTTATCTATTGCCATTGTTTTTTAAATTGAGTGTAAGCATCTCTCCTTGGCATCCAAGGCCCTCTCTAAGAGAGCCTCCTTTGTTTTCCACTGTTTCCTACACATGTTGAGTACATACTCCAGATGGACTGAACTGTTCATCCTACAGACCTTATGCAGCCCCACGATGGGCTCCTGAATGCACTTTGACTCTGGGGCTACAAAGGTGGATAGCACCCAGTTCCTCCCCTTCAGGAGCTCACAGTCTGTAGAGCAGGGACTGTCCCATTTTTATTTCTGGGTCTTTGCTCTTGCTGTTCCCCTGTGTTTGGGATGCTCTTGTCCCTCAACCCTCATCCTACCTTTTGAAATTTCATGTGTATCTCAAAGGGCCTCTCAAATGTTGGTTGCTTGGAGGTTTTTGGGGTCCTCTTCTCAGTAATTACTCTGTCTCTCTGATCTCCCAGAGCACTATTTGTTGTTGGTGTTAGGTGCTATTGAGTTAGTTCCGGCTCTTGGTGTGTACAACAGAACAAAACACTGCCCAGTCCTGTGCCAGCCTTACAATCCTTATTATACCTGAGCCCATCATTGCAGCTACTGTGTCAGTCCATCTCTTTGAGGGTCTTCTGCTTTTGTGTTGACCCTCCACTTTACCAAGAATGATATCCTTCTCCAGAGAATGGTCCCTTCTGACAACATGACCAAAGTAGGTGAGACCAAATCTGGCCATTCTCGCTTCCAAGGAGCACTCTGGCTGCACTTCTTCCAGGACAGATTTGTTAGTTCTTCTGGCAGTCCACAGTACTTTCAGTATTCTTCCTCAACACCACAACTCAAAAGCATCAGCTTTTCTGCGGTCCCCCTTATTCATTGTCTAGCTTTCACATGCAGATGAGGCATATGGTTGCAAATACCATGGCTTGGGTTAGGCACACCTTAGTCTTCAAAGAGACATCTTTGCTCTTCAGGACTTTAAAGAGGCCTTTTGCAGCAGATTTGCCCAGTGCAATACATTGTCTGATATCTTGACTGTTCCTTCTGTTGATGTCGATTGTGGAACCAAGTAATAGGAAATGTTTAATAACTTCAATCTTTTTCCATTTATCGTGACACTGCTTATCCTCAATTGTGAGGATTTTTGTTTTCTTTATGTTGAGATGCAATCTGTACTGCAGACTGTAGTCTTTAATCTTCATTAGTAAGTCATCTTTACTTTCAACAAGCAAAGTTGTGTCATCTGCATATTGCAGGTAGTTAATGAGTCTTCCTCCAATCCTGATGCCATGCTCTTCTTCATATAGTCCAGCTTCTCGTATTATTTGCTCAGCATATGGATTGAATAAGTATGGTGAAAGGATACAACCCTGACACATCCTCTTCCTGATTTTAAACCATTTAGTATCCCCTTTTTCTGTTTGAACAACAGCCTTCTGGTCCATATATAGGTCCCTCATGAGCACAATTAAGTGTTCTGGAATGCCCATTCTTCTCAAGGTTATTCATAATTTGTTATGATCCACACACACGACTGCTTTTGCATAGTCAATATAACGCAAGTAAACATCTTTCTGGTATGCTTTGCTTTCAGCCAAGATCCATCTAACATCAGCAATGATAGCCCTCGTTCCATGTCCTCTTCTGAATCCAGCTTGCATTTCTGAAAGTTCTCTGTCAATATACTGCTGCAACCATTTTTGAATTATCTTCAGCAAGATTTTACTTGTGTGTGATATTAATGATATTGTTTGATAATTTCCACATTCTGTGGGATCACCTTTCTTTGGAATGGTACAGATATGGATCTCTTCCAGTCAGTTGGCCAGGTAGCTCTCTTCCAATTTCTTGGCGTAGGCAAGTGTGTGCCTCCAGCGGGGCATCTGTTGTTGAAACATCTCAGTGGGTATTCTGTCAATTTCTGGAGCCTTGTTCTTCGCCAGTTCCTTCAGTGCAGCTTTGACTTCTTCCTTCAGTACCATTGGTTCTTGATCATATGCCGTTTCCTGAAATGGATGGATGAGCATCAACCAGTTCTTTTTGGTACAGTGGGTGTGTATTCCCTCCATCTTCTTTTGATATTTCCTGCATCATTCAATATTTTGCCCACAGGATCTTTCAGTATTGCAACTCAAAGCTTGAATTTTTTCTTCAGTTCTTTCAGCTTGAGGAATGCTGAGCATGGTCTTCCCTTTTTTTTCTAACTCCCGGTCTTTGCACATTTCATTATGGTAATTGGCTTTGCACGAACTGCTCTTTGAAATCTTCTATTCAGCTCTTTTATCTTGTCATTTCTTCCATTTGCTTTAGCTACTCTCTGTTCAAGGGCAAGTTTTTTCTCACATCCATTTTGGTCTTTTCTCCCTTTCCTGTTTTTTAATGACCTTTTGCTTTCTTCATGGTTGATGTTCTTGATGTCATCCTACATTTTGTCTGGTTTTTGGTCATAAGTGTTCAGTGCATCAAACTGTTCACTATTTAATACTCCAATTTTAGCATTCAGGGAGTGCTGGTGGTGCAGTGGTTAAGGCATTTAGCTGCAAACCAAAATGGTGGTGGTTTGAACCCATCACCTGCTCTGTGGAAGAAGGATGAGGCAATCTGCTTCTGTAAAGATTTACAACCTTGGAAACCCAATGGGGGTTGCTATGAGTCTCAATCACCTTAATGACAGTGAATTTTTTTTTGTTTTTTTTTTAGCACTTACCTTAGGTTACTTGGCCTTTTGAACATTTGAGAACTTACCTATTCCTTTTTACTTAACTATAAATTCCTTGAGGAGAGGGCTATATTTTACTTCCTCCCTCCCCCATCTATCCCATCTAGGGCAGTGACTTACATCTAACTCACACTCAGCAGTTATCAAATTGAGTTGGAGGAGAAGGAGGACAGCCTTCTTGAAGGTTAGGAGGAGCAGCATCCTGGGCAGTGGGAGGTTTTTTTCTAGTTTTGGGGGGGTGGGGACTGGGGGCTGAGCAAGGCAGACCACTGCCCAAGAGAAAATACTGTAGAGAGCACTGACCTTGAAGTCACAAGACCTGGACCCTTTCTCCTTTATTGACTGTCTCCATGAACTTGGGCAAATGAGTAACCTTTTGGGGACATGGTTTCTTCATATATGAAATGGGGGCATAATAATTGTAGTTCCACAGCATTTTTGTAAACTGAGACATTGTTTGTGAACATACTTTATAAACCATGAGACTCTATTTGATGAAAGATATTTTCAGCTCCCCACTGGTAGTGGGGCTGTGGGTGTTATCACAGCCTCTATGCACTATGCCACAGGGTCAACGACCATTAACAACTGTCTTTCCAACTTGGTGTATTGTTTACTGTATTTCCCCCCTGTAGGAATTCATGGTTAAATGTACTCAAAGACTGTGGGATTGCATCTTTGCCTTACCATATGTGAGCCCCATGAGTTCCAGACAACATTCTCGTCATCTTTGCCTCCTCCTCCCCCCACCCCAGCTTGGTATCCGGTAGTTTGAAAATGTTTGTTGAATGAACAATAAACCCCACCCCAGATGGGCTATAGCCCATCTGCTTTGTGAAGTGAGCAGTACCTAGATTTATTTTCATAAAGGGTGTTTGGCTCTGTGCCTCAGATTCTGAGCTGAACGATATCATGAATGAAAAGTTCTTTTTTAGGAACCTGTTGGCTTATTGACTCCCAAAATGGGTGAATCTCAGATGAATCCGCTCCCTGAAAGCACAAGACCCCGCAGCATTAGCACAGCTTGCCTTAAAGCTTACTTTACCTCCAATCCTTATCCTTTATGTTTTCCAGAGAAATGTTTTTGAAAAGACCAGACAACATCCAAGAATTTGCTGCAGGTAAGTAAGGCAGTATCATTTTGGGGTATCTGATTAAACCAGTGCAGGAAGTATTATTGTGGGTCTAGACTCGGACAAGCCCAGGATTCTCCCTGCAGCGTCTTAGGTATTTCATCCAGTGTCCCCTAAGGGAGCTTTGTTCGGAAGGCCTCTTTCCTCTGTTGTTATTTTCTCAAATTGAGGACAGATAAGAAATGAGGCAGAACTTCCTAATGGTGAGGATTGTTAAGAATTTTGAGATTCCCAAAGGAACATTTTGGCAATTCTTTCCCTGGAATCTTAAAGCCGAGTTTACAATCTCGGCTGCACATTAGAATCACCTGGGGAGTTTTTTTTTTTTTTTTAAAAAAAGCCCTGTGCCCAGGCCCCACCCCCAGAGATCTTTATTTAATTAATCTGGGGTTGGGGCCCAGCATCCATAGTTTCAAAGGCTTCTTAGGTGATTCTCGTGGGCTCAACTGCCCAATATGGCTTAAGGTCGATGGGTCGAAGGGAAGAGGCCAAGTTGAATGATTTCTTGGATCCTGTCAGCCCTGGGAAGGAACTTTGGTGGTGCAGTGTTTAAAGCATTTGGCTGCTAACCAAAAGGTCGGTGGCTAGTGAGGCAGCATGCTTCCATAAAGATTTACAGCCTATGGGACAGTTCTACTCTATCCTATGAGATCACAATGAGTCAGAGTCAACTTGATGGCAGTGGGTTTGGGTTTTTGGGTCAGCCCTGGGAGTTGGTTTTGTCCTCAAACTATTTCTAACTGGTTCGAAGTACGTCTTTGCTGCCACAGCAGATGCTGCCTCTGATTGATGTTATGCTGGGTATATAAAAACCCTCTTCTGTTGTCCTCCTGTGAGAGCCTGGCTCTTCTCTCAGAGAGGGCGTCATATCCCAGAGACAGGAGGTGACGAGCAGAGTTTAGGCAAGAATAATCTTGGCATTTTTGGAGCCCTGGAGCTCTGGTGGTGTAGTGCCTAAGGCATTTGACTATTAACCAGAAGGCTGGTGGTTCAGACCCTAGCCGCTCCTCAGAAGGAAAATTGGGCACTCTACTTCCTCAGAGATACTGCCTCGGAAATCCAAGGAGAAGTCACTGTGAGTTGAAACCGACTCGATGGCAGTGAGTTTTCTGGGCTTTTATAAGGTGGGCCAGGAGCAGAAAACCCAGAGAATCCCATCAGCCTTCTGATGCTCGATGTGCGTCAATAAGAGACACACAGCCAACGTGGAGGGGATGGAGCTGTCCGTGTAAGCCCTTGCTGGGAACACTTGAGCTGGCAGGCTCAGAGTGGCTCAGGCAGGGACAGTGACCACAGGATTTGCTGTAACATCTCATATTACATTGTAAAGCAGAGCCACCAGTGACAGTCCTGCCAGGACCAAGCCATCCTAACTTTTAGCAGAGTAAGCATCTCCCTCCCAGGGTTTTTCCCTCGGGTTTAGATGATTTCTTCTCTTTGATTCTTACCCCAGACTATTTCACGGATCCAGAACTTCCCAACAAGATTCACATGCAGCTAATTAAGGAAAAGAAAGCAACTTAATTAGTAAAATCCTGATGCTCAGTTGTTGGGAGAGAACAGAAGGAATCCAGCCTCAGGGTAGGTGCTGACCTCACTTAGAGACAGGGGTTTTTTTACTCTGGTGAAAATAAGCATTGGTTTCTTGGGCCAGGGTGTGGAAGAAGCCAAGCAGACACAGTGGAGAGAAATTCAAAGCAGATGTTTAGTTTTCTCAACACTATTTGGGGGAAATGGGGACTGTGAAAAATGGCCAAGGGTTTGTCTAGCATGTCAGTAGCAGTAAGAGACATCTTTTTTAACCTAGTGAAGTAGATTAAGAGCATGGCAATGGGAGAAGTTCAGCGATAAAGAAAGCCACAGGGAAATGAGGATGGGAGCATTTAGTACTAAGCCCTTACTTCCAGAATGTTTCTGCAGGTGGCCTTTTCCTTATGTCCTCAGTGGTGGGAGGGAGAGGTTTCCTGTTGCTTCTGGAAGAGGTAAAAGCAATGATATCCCCCACCCCCACTTGGCATTGTAGGTTGGGTGCTTTCCTGCTGTCCTTGCCTTTAAACCAAGCTATGCTATTAAGGCCATCACATGTTTTTCAGGCAGGAGGCTTCTCAAATTTGAAGGCTGGGATTTTTCTCTTAATGTGAGGTGGGAAAAAGCCACCCTCCTAATTCAGCAGAGCCATCTCTGTTTTGCAGGGTCATCTGGAAGAAAGAGAGCCTTGTTGCCATCAGTGTGGGTTTCTAAGCTGCCTTGGGCACTGTCTGCAGTCACAAAGGCTTTTAAAGATATTCATTAAAAACAACCCTTCCTGCTTTCTCTCTGCTTTGTTTCACCCAGAAGGAGGAAGACATCATTCATGGGTGGGCGCCACTCTGTCCCCACTTAGACTGGCTGTGATGCAGTAGTGCTGGCCCAGTGGCCTCGTAGCTAGGTCAGTGCACGTATACACACGGTCCATGTATTACCTACCCCTCCAGCCCACTCATTCCCAGAGCCAAGACGGGGTGGCCTGCTGGGAGGACACAAAGAGCAGGCATGGGGACCCCGGGAGAACCATGGCTGGGTGCAGTGGTACAGGAGCAAACTGCATGCACGTTTCAGTGGTGACTTGAATTTTTCCTTATCTTACCTCCTGGGTTATTATATGGAGGGTGATGATTAACTTTTATTTCATAGAAGCAATAATAAGAGGAACTGGGCTGGAAGGACAGCAAGAGAGAACAAGATTAGATGTAGAAAACCCATCCAGGGTCATGATTATTGTGAAATCAGAGCCTGACATGTGACTCAGAGAGGTTGTGGACTTTATTCTTGAGGGTTTTCAGGAGCAAGCTGTCCATGCATTTGATTTTCAGCTAGTAGGCAGGGGAATGGGTTAGATAGCCTTATGAAGTCCTTTCCCAGCCTATGAGTCTTGGTAGCCTTAACATGTTTATGTTCTACCTCTCTGGGCTTCACAACTCACTGGCTCCACTGTATGAAGAACCTCTCACCTTTGTGTCACTTGTCAGCATCCCCATGGCAACAGAAGCACAGAGCAAAGCAGGGGTTGTATTTTCCTTGTCTCTGCCTGCCTTGTCTGCAGCTGCCATCACCTGCAGTAGTTGAAAGGGCAGCACAACAGAGCACCTACAGGACTATTAGAACTATGCCAAATAAACTATGGAAAAGGAACCCGAGGAGTTATTCTAAGTGCTTTTGGAATCACACTCAGCTTTGGTACTGACAGTGAGGTAGTCCTGTTTAGAAAATCACATGAAGCCTTCAGCAAAAAACACGGATCTCCTCTAAGAACCTCTGCTGTGAAGTATTACATTAAACACTCTTAGAACCTTTCCTGGGAGAAGAAACCCACAACAGTGTGGGAAACAGCAAGGTGTTTTTTCAAGATGCTTGAGAGCATGATTTAATACTGCAAGAGTATGGTGGCTCATTCTTGGGGGGTTCCTGATACACATGAGAATTTAAAGTACATTGCAAAGCCTCACCTTCCTGAGTAATGAGTGAATTTAACACATAATCCTACTGTATCTGCTTTGTGTGAGACACTGCTAGGTGCTAGGGTAGACATAAAGACAGTGCCTGCTACCTGGTGATTCATGATCTGAGGAGCTGGGCTGCTTCTCTCCCATATCCCCATTATTCTGCTATCCTAGGCCTTAAAACAAACAAACAAACAAACCCACTGCCATTGAGTTGATTCTGAGTCAGTGACCCCCACTGGGTTTCCAAGATTGTAAATCTACAGAAGTAGATGGCCTCATCTTCCTTCCACAGAGAGCCTGGTGGGTTTGAATCTTCTGCTTGCCAGTCAGATGCCTTATATACTGCACCACCAGAGCATCTTGTCCTAGGCCTTAGCATGCAGTCTTTTCAGTGTCTATCTGAATAGCTCACTTATTAAATTGAAAACTCCATGAGGGCAGTGACCAAATGTGGAAAGCTAACACGTTCATTTTTGAATCCCAAGCTCCTAGCAGGTGTCTGCACACAGCAAGTTCTCAGTAAGCATTAGTGGAGAACATAAATGCATAATTGAATGACTAATCACATTATAAGGCATGAATCTCTGCAGTGGCAATTTTACACCCATGATGGAAGGACGCATGTAATAGAGAGGGCAATAGAAGAAAACACACCAGGTCTGCCTGGGGGAATGAGTCAGGCATGTGATGGGTGAAAAACAGTTTGCCTGGCAGATGTGGGGAGGAGGTGGGGAGAGAGGTGTGGGGTCATCAGGGGACTTTAGGGACTTCTGAGCAGGATGGAGGGAGCAGACTCTTTGTCACCTGCCCATGCTCACTCCCCCTTTCTTCCTTGCTAACAGAACCTCAGTTTTGTTTTGAGCACCAGTGGACTCAAACCCCAAGTAGTGGACCGTGGTTGATCTGAGCCAACCATAACAATCACATTCCCTGATAGTCCTCCTTGCAGCTAGGTGCACCCATGCAAATGTGTGTGTGTGTGTGTGTGTTTTCCTAGGAAAGCATTTGCTTTTCTTAAAAACAAAAGGTGGGGGGAGTAGAGAGCACAGATTCAGCTGGTTAGCTTCCCCGTTCTTCCTGATTTGAACCTGAATATGATGTCCAGAGCTGAGCAGCCATCCTGAGACTATGAAGTGACAAGCATGAAGGGGAAAGGCAACCTGCTAAAGTGCTGAAAGATCAGAAGATCCTCAGGCCCTGATGGTGTCTGAGCACCAGGCTTGTTGATAAGTGAGAAAAAAAAAAATCTCTAATTTGTTTTGAAATCAGACCAGCATTTAAATCCCGATCCACCACTTATTAGGTGCTTGCACTTGGGTAAGTCAATTAACTTCCTCAAGCATTGGGTTCCTCATCTATAAAAGGAGACTTGTGGTAACTACCCCTCAGGGTTGTTTGGAGGAGAGAGAAAGAATGCATAGTGCCTGGCACGTGGAGGTGCTCAGTAAGGTGTGTGTTTATGGTAGGTGGGGCAAGGTGGAGCAGTGGAAGAAGATGCCACACAAGAAGATGGGGGCCCATAAGCAAAAAGCACTGTGTGCTAGGCGGAAGAAATACAAATCTAAATTTTTGTCCTATAGGCAGTGGAGACCTAGTGAAGAATTTTAAGCCAAGAGTAGTTCATGAAGAGATTTGCATTTAGATAGTGTGGAAGACATTTAAGGAAGCTAAAGACTAGAAATGGAAAGATCTAGGGAAACAATCACAATCATCCTAGCCACCGTTGTCTCTCACCTACACCACTTCAGGCACTTCACAACAACCAGTCTCTCTGCTGGCTCTCTCGGCCTCTACAACAGTTGAGAATGCATTTAGTTGCAGGTAACAGAAAACTAATCTACAGTGGTTTAAACAAATAGGGAAGGAGCTCTGGTGGTGTGGTTAAGGCATTTGGCTGCTAACCAAAAAGTTGGCGGTTCAAATCCACCAGCTGTTCTGTGGGAGGAAGCTGAGGCAATCTACTTCAGTAAAGACTTATGTTCTGGTTACCTAGTGCCACTCTGACAGGAATATACCACAAATGGGATGGCTTAAACAAACAGGAGTTTATTCTCTTACAGTTTGGAGGCTTTAAGTCCAAGTTCAAAGTGCCAGGCTCTAGGGGCTGGGTGAAACCCCTTCAACCTTGGGGTCCAGCTCTGCCTCCTGCCCCCAGCCCACTGGAGCTAGAGGCATTTCTTCGCCTAGACAGCTGCTAGGTGCTGAGGCTGACAAACCCAAGGTTGACAAATAAAAAGGCACAGTTCCGATGTTACCAAACCACACGGCAGGCCATTAATTCAAGTCCATTGAAAGTCCCAAGGTCAGCAGGACAACAACATGGCTACATGCAGGGTCCAAGTGTGCCATAAACTAAAGACCATTCCCAAGGCTTCTCCTTATATACAAGAAGCAGACCACATCCCAACGGCAGCTACTCAGCTGCTTGTGATAGATCCCACTTTGGAGTTGATTGCCAGTCTCATCATGGGGAATAACTACCACCAGCTGCCCAGCCACTCAACCAGGCCCAGCCAAGCTGACATGCAAACATAACTACCACAGACTTACAACCTTGGAAACCCAGTGGGATCACAATGAGTCAGAATCGAATTGATGGCAGTAGGTTTTGGTTGGAAACAAATGGGGAGCTCTTTTTCTCATCTAAAAAGAAGTCTGGCAGTGGGCAAGATTCCAAGGTTTAATGATACGGAGAAGTATCCAGACCAGGTTCTTCCTGTCTCAGCCAGCCTTTGCCTGTCATCTCGTGACTGCAAAGGCACCTGCACTCGCAGGTGCCATTTCTGTATTCCAGCAGGGAGAGGGGGTTCAGAGCCCTACCAGCTGAGTCTGTCCCTTTCATAAGGAAAGAAAAACTTTCCTGGAAATATACCCCTACAGTCCAGAATAGGATCATGTGACCCACCCTAAGTTCAGCAGAGACTGAGAAAAGGAACATATAGTTCTTTCAACTTCTAGAGTATCAAGTGTCAAGAGAAAAGGGGATAGCTGTCTGCCTCACCTATACTCCTGATTCAATTCTCCACATAACAGCTAGAATGA